GGGAATGTCCATCGTGATAAGGATTCCAGTTTAGGATGGCTGGTTCTAAGGACCAGATAACTTGCTATAGGAAAAGGGCAGGCTCAGTGAAACTAACGGGCCAAGGAAGGTAAATGCAGAAAGTCAGGGACCCTCCTGGTGTCATTGGAATAAGTGAGGCCATCTTCTCAGCACCAGAAGGAACACCTGAGAGCTGCTTCAAAACTCAGAATCCCAAGGCCAGCCTATACCAAATTCATCCTTAAATCTGCTAAAGTCAGATGGTTATATTTGGTAAGAATTTTGCTAGAAGATGATGTGTATATATATATATATATATACATATATATATATATATATACGTATATATATACATACATACATACATATATATATTTGTTAAGATATTAAAAGTAAGCAATAAAAAGAGAGAAATAAAACATAAAATTTCCAAACTAACAGACTCTCTGAAGCTCATCCATGGATGCGAAGCCCGGGTCCCATGGACGCCAGATGAAGTACCCTTGGCTTAGAGCCCATTCCATAAAAGGAGAAAGGGAAGAAAACCCACAGCTGGATGGAGTCCTCCAAATACAAACAGCCTGTGTGAAAGGAGCCAACAAACTGGTAGATTCAGCAGAAACTGGGGATTCCTGACCTGATACCAGGCAAGGACCTGTGGGAGGACAGGAGCGCAACAGTCCTGGGCACCCGCTGGGCACTGGGCACTCTGCTGATGCACATCTGCAATATGCTAACTCACTCCATCATCAAACACCCTCCCCCAAAGGGCTCCTTCCCTCACTATATTGCCTATAGAAACCAATAGTTTTAAAAATGTTTGGATGTTGTTTTGTTTTTCAAGATAGAGTTTCTCCATGTAGTCCTTGCTGTCCTGGAACTTGCTTTGTAGACCAGACTAGCCTTGAACTCAGAGATCTACCTCTTCTGCCTCTGCCTCTTGAGTTCTGGGATTAAGCTACCACTTGTGGCTTAAATACTTTAAAAATACATAATGTGAAATGTCTAAAGGGAATTACCAAAAAATGAAAGGACAAAAGATGCCAGCTCTTATTTTTAGGTATGAGAGTCAATATTTGCCAAGTCCCTTGTCAATGGCTACACATATTTTCAACAATTTTTTCTCAGTTTCAGGCAACAGAAGATACAGTCTGGCCACACTGTAAGCACTGCCATCTACAAGACATGGTCTGCCTTAATTAATGGGATGTTTAGAATTGGGGTCAGTAATTACAGAACTCCCGAACACACCAGAACCTTAGTTATCTAAGACTCCATCAGCCAGTAACTAGTTCCTTTTGGCAATAACAGAGGCTTCTCCCATTTCATCCACACCCTTTCCCACATACATCCTACTTCCAAGTTGCCACAGTGTTCAGAAAGTCTCCCCCACCAATGCAGACATCCAAGTTTTGCTTCCGCTGTTCCTTCTGTCACCATGGGAGACCCACTTCTACCTTCTCCTGGGATCTTTAACAAGATGGATTCTCATTGAGGAACTCTGGCATGTGAAGTGAGAACTCTGGATACATTTTCAGAAGAGAATAATGTTTTCAGTAGCCACTACATTACAGAGTTCCATTACAATTAAGCTATTTGCTTTAAAGAATTTCTGGGCCAGTCTGGAAACCTATATATAAAAATTTTTAAAATGGCACATGCATTATGAGCATAAAATAACTCAGGAAAAAAGGTTTATAAGTTAGAGATTACATTGATGATGTTAGAAAAACAAATCTATATAGAACTTTACCACATCATTCACATCAAATTGTCCATCAAATTCTGTATCTGATCACTCACCCTTTCTGTAAACTAATAATATTTGAATACACGCACATAGAAACCTGCTTGTATTTAGAAAAGAAAGTAGAAAATTTCAGCAAAAAAACCCTCAATGACCAGGAATTACCTCAGCATTTGAAAAGAACATTAGGACTTTTCCTGGATTCCAAGTAATTCTCAAACCTGTTTCTACATTCAAAAGCAAATTGTAAGAGACTTCTTTCTTACGGAGAACACCTATTATCAACAGAAAATTACGTGGGGGTGGGGGATGGGGGCAGGGAGCTGGAGGGAAGGAGGGGTGAGGGGGTGAGGCTGGAGAGCAACAAAATGAGCTCAGGCTTTCTCTGCAAGGTGCTGTTCCGCAGTTGACAGCATTTAAAGGTTAAGATAGAAGAAAGGAAGAAACAAGTACAGAGATCATCTAGAATACTGGAAACCAAAGTCAGAATGCAAGCTGAGCAGCTTTACAGTGACTGTGGGAGCTGGCGTGGGAATGGACGGGGCAGGCAGAAGCCAAGTCCTCTGTCTGCTCACTTCCATGACACAAAGACTTCATCATGGCCAATTGCGTGTGTGTGTGTGTGTGTGTGTGTGTGTGTGTGTGTGTGTGTGTGTTCTTTGGTATTTATAAACAGAGGACCTTACTGACAACAGGCAATACAATCACCAAGGCCAATTTTAAGGAACAAATGTGATATCTGCAGATACGGAGCTTGTCAGTGTAATACAGTACTGCAGAGATACTGTATTGATTTCTGGCGACTTATTTTCAGGACAGCCAGAATAACAAAATAATAGGATCAGAAACCAAGATAAAGTATCTAGGAAGGGGGCTGGAGAGGTGGATTTCACACAGACTGACAGAGCCTGCAGCTAAGACCCAGCTCCAGAGAAAATAGGATGGTCTCTGCAGACGTCAGCACTCCAGGCAGCTGGCAGCTCTCCCACTCAAGCCCCACCTGCCGCCTCTCCCTCTTCCTCCTGATGCGTCTCCTAACACCTGATTCCACCCCAGTGAATCGTGGTGGCCCAACTAGCCTGCCTCACTTTTACTTTGCCCTCAGCCTAAACCAGGGGCTTGGCCAGATGCAAATACTGTTTGGCCTCTACAGACCAGCTGGTCTCTGCTGCCACTGTTGTGACGAAGCAGCCAAGTTCCATGTGTACGCGTGACCATGTGCTGGCTGGGTTCCAACAAAGCTTTATTTACTAAAGCAGGTGGTGGCCCAGGTCTGGCCCACAGGCAATACACTGCCATTCCTGACCTAACGAGGCTAATGGGAAGGTGCTCGCTCAGCATGCCTTAATTCCCAGGCTTGCTAGAGGCATCTGTAACACTGCCAGATGCCTTATCTTACAGCATCACCACCAGCATATCTTCTAGTTACCACAGCAGTTCCAAAGAATCATTGCTCGTCAGCAAAAATGCTCTTGTTTACACAGCCACCAACTTCTGCTCTCTTACTAGACTGCTTTTCTGAAATAGTTTCAGCTGTACAGAAAGATTCAGTAGGTTGTACAGGACTCCCATGTACCTTTATCGCTCTCCCCACATCTCTCACTGGTGTGGTGTGGTTCTACATTGAGGAGCTAATGCTGGCATGTTGCCTTGACAAAGTCCGTGCTTCTCAAAGATGCCCTTCATTTCTACATACTGTCCATTTTCTGCTACCGATGCTTTCCAAAATACCAACGGCTTTGGTGGTTCTGTCTTCTTGGCTCTCCTTAGTTGTGACAGTCTTTCCTTGTTTTGGTGGCCTTGATGGTTTTGAGATCTACAGGTCAGCTGTACAGATGTGTGGTAACCCAGGCAACTGCTTCCCCGCTGCACTAGCGCCCAGGCTGCTGTCCGTCTTTCTCCTTCATCCACCCACTTCTAACACTGGATTCCACCTGCAGTGAATCCCGATGGCTTTTCTGCTGGGGTTTGGCTGGGGTTTTTCTTATGATGAGGCAGTGGAAATACTAAGGGGGAGTTTGTTCATATACACACTATATTAATATGGCCTCTGGGTGTTTCATCTGCTCTGAAAAGTGAAACCAAGTAGGCAGTGAAGGGGGAGGCCACAGAAGGGAGGAGACAGCGCACAGTGCTGAGGGGCAGCAGGAAGGTCCTCATCACTGCGGTGGACGCCCAGGGCAGGGGCAGGTAGAGATCACAGGAGACCGAGAACACTCTCTTCAGCATATGGCACATTCCACCTTTTTATTAATTTCCTCAGGATACTTTTGTGGAGTCGAAGAACTTTGGTTTTAAGTTCAAGCGACTTGACTTAAGGGACACTAAGAAAGAAGCTGAGAGAGGGCGGTCGATGTCATTAGAGCTTTGACAGTGACGCCTCTTTTCCGGGACTGAATCGCCTGCATTTGTCCTAACTAACAACACAGAAAAAAGTGGAAGGGTGACGACCTGCTCCGGGGGTATATCTAAAGACTTCTGGACCAGAAGATGAGGCGAGAATCGGTTTTTCTTCTCGTGCATTTAAGAAGTATCCAGCAAGTAGATAATCACAGAGAATCCCACAGGCCCCGCTCTCTACCTGCCTGGCAAAGTCCAGTTTTCACAGCCTGAATTGCCACTAAGAGTTAAAAGGCAGAAACCTCGAAAATACATTCCAGGGACACTTTTCTTTTCATCAAGATTCACTTGACGAAGCAAGTTTGGGTTTGTTTTTTGAGGATGACATTCAAACCTTACTTCAAAGATTTATAATTCATGTGAAGTGTGAGGAATGGGTGTCTTTCTAAAAACCACACCCAGGAACTCTCTGTAAGTATAGTCACTTAAAAAATTGACTCTCTTTCCCTCACTTATTCCTCCCTCCCTCTCCCCTCCCCCTTTCCTCCCTTCCTCTCTCTATCTTGCTCTTCTCTCTTTCTGCATGTTTACACATATGCACCCATGGACAGTAATGACACCATCCATGCTTACACACTGAATTGTTTCAGGTGTACAAGATCAGCTACAGTCTAAAAATATTAAGTGGAAAACTTCACAAAGAAACAAGCAAAAGCATTTCAGCTGTGTGCAGTGAGGGGAACACAACAAAATCTTGCATACACTGATCTGACGCACCTCTTCCAACCCAGTATATGCATCATCCCTTCGTCCAGTGTATTCACGCAGCACCTACTGACCTGTCAGTCACTAGGCATCATCTCCATTGTGAGATCAACTACAGCGGTAGTGCAATGTAACACTGACTAGTCTTACTAATGACCCCAGGCCTCAGGAAGACTGACACTGTCATTTGGATATGACGAGCAGAAGCTGCAAAGTACTACCTGGAAGTGAAAGGGGTAACACTAACTTTAACTTAATCAAATAAAAAAAGAGTACGCTGAGAAGAAATTTTACAATCATGAACTTGTCAAGAAAAAAAGATTGTAACTGAGTTTGCACATCTGTTCCAGCTGTGTTTACCACTCAGAGGTAGGGTTCAGCACTACACGTGCTTTCGTAATCACTATAGAGCTTGGAACCTGGTGCCTGCTGTATATAGAAAGGTTTTCCTGATAATTCTCTACTTTGCCATGTTCTAGTTGTATCAAATATAGTTTTTCTAACCAAAGGGGGAAATATGTATGAATGTATCCTGCTGTATGCTTGTATAGAAATTTTGGTTGAGTATTTATAAATATTTTGGCAAAAATAGGAGAATGGAAGAAAGAACAGTGAGTAAGGGAGAAAGGTAAGCAGAAAGAAGAAAGAAGGAAAATTAGCCATGTATTTTATTTTTCTCTGTATGTACTTCCATGTAAGATAATTGAGGTGCCTTTCTGAAGGTACAGATGACAAGATATCAAAGCATACAAAAAATGTGAGTGGCTAGAAATTTAAACCTGAATAGATAGCTAGTAGAAAGGATTGTGGATAAACACAGACAAGGACTTAACGAGGGGTGCAAAAGTCTCTGGAGAGAAAGTGACCAAGTCTCTCTCAGCCCTTGGTCTCAGCACATGCTCTTCCTCCAGTCTCCACACCAGTGGCCCAGTCTGTCCTCACTGGGTCTTGACATTTCCTTAAGCAATTACCACAGTTGGTAACGCTATGATTATTGGGGTGATTTTTTTGCCCATGTACACAAGCATGCGTGGATGTGTGTGTACGTTTGTGTTCTGTTCCCACAAGCCTATTTGGAGAGCCATCACAGTGTGAATTTGGGTTTCCAAAGGTGTTCACTGAAGCTGCTTTCCAGAAAAACTCACATACAAGATAGGTTAATAAGGACCAGAGGCACAGACCTTGTCAACGCTTGTCTTAGAAACTATGCCCACAGGGAGTACTTATTCTCTCTCATGTGTTTCCACCATACATAGTTAGTCAGGTTACTACCATATAATATAATGTGGTTCCTACTCTTTCTGCTTTTTATTTTTGAGATAGGCTCTCACTATGTTGCCCAGGCTAGCCCCAAACTCTCAATCCTCCTGCCTCAGTCTCCTAGGTGCTAGGATCGCAGCCATGTACCACCATGTTAAGACCAAACTGTTCCTGGAGGATATATGCCAATCTCTCATCTCCGTTTTCCTTCCACCCACTACTGTGTATAATGTGGAAACATTAACTTGGCACCATTGTACAGCTTTAAAACTCAACAAGACGGAAATAAATTGTCTTTCTGTCCAGTCTTGGATTTCCAGTTCCATGACATATTTCACTTCTCTGTTGCCCGAGAATTCATTCTCCGACTTTGCTCTCTTTCTGTAATTGTAGGAACCACACTGATCACACTGGAAACAGCCCAGCCATCAGCAATGGAGAATCATGCTTAGCTGTAGAGAGGCATGTGAAGGTCACCGGTGAGTGTGCCCCACATAAAGCCCCGTGGAATGCGTGCAGCTCCACTCTGTTGCCTAATAACCAACTTTGATCCCCCCACACAGTGAGAACTTAAAACACATTCAAGACTATGCATGTACTCCATGCTTAAAAATATTTCCATTTCTCACCTCCCAGCAGATACCAAGTGTGTGAATAAAAGGGAGCCTACTACATTTTAAGAGGTCTAGCATGTGTCTCAACAAGTTTTAAAACCCCCATAAAGGCTGAACACTCAGCCCCTCGGGCTATAAGGGCTCCAGTCAGAGTCTGGATTTAAGAGAGCAGGGTGCTCCTGGCATTAAGATATTTCCACAACTTTAATAACATTAGGTGCCCGAGTGTTGTAGCTGGACCACTGGTTAGAATATAGGCCTACTTGATGGAAAACATTAAGAAATTGCAGGAACACAGCTATTTCCATCCATTGATGATTGTGTAAACAGAGTGTACCAAGAAGAAAAAAAAAAGAAGGCTTATTTACAAAAAAAGCAAGCACAGTCCATAAATCCTACAGATTGGAAGGGATCCAGGCTAAGAATTTCTCCAGATGTCAGTCCGTAAACAGGGCTTCATAAAGTGAATTCCCCCAATTAATTGTTGGCAAAATTATCTCTAGACTGTATTGGCACGTTGTGTGCCCCGCTGTATGTGGGAGGACCGGTGACAGCCTCTATAGATTGTTTCTGATACATGACATTCAGGGGGAGAAGGCAGGGTGGGCACATCCCTGACGCAGTGAGAAGGGACCATAAACTCATCACTCTGGGACTTGGAGTTCTGCTGGCCCGAGGAAACAAGAGCTCGCAAATTTGTGTGCATTACATCTGTTTTTCTAACACATTAAGTTCTTAACCTGCAGCACTTACAGAGACACACACCCAGTAAGAATATAAACATGGAAACTTTAAAAAAGCTACTCACTATTTTGTTACCACCTCCAATCACAATGTTTTTACACATGTTAGCGAGGCTGTTAGAACATCCAGATGCGATTACAAAAGCAATGCCCGGTCATTGTGAAAAGGTGGGGGAGAGGAGAAAGCTAATATCCACTTCCTCTGCCAGCTGATCAATGTCTGGAGCACTCTGCCATAACATGCAAGATCTACTGCCTTTTAACTACATCTTTCTATACTGATAAGTCGAGTCATTTTTTTTTTTGTTCAGAATGAAAGCAGTTGTGATTTCCATTTCATTTTGAAATCTTAAGGAAATTCAATGTACAATTGGAAAGAGGCATAACTCTAAGACATTTCCATTTAAAATACTTTCCTGCCTTGCTCTTCAGAGGCCCATGCTCTCTCACAGTGCACAAGTGAGACAGTATAGCTGTAGCTGTGAGAGAAAGGAAGCCAATAGCTCTGCAATAATAATCTCTGAAAACCAGGAGAATGGAAGCATAACCCTGGCATGTCTGGACACCACACAGAATGAGAGCTGGTGTTCTTCGTGGCTTCCTCTTGCAGAAGGGGATCCTAGCAACCATTCTTCATCTTAAGCTTCTTTCCACAAGCCAACTAAAAGCCAGAACCTTGATCAGATTCTATTGGCTTGCTTAATAATGGCAGAGTCTAGGAGGTGAGACTTAAGAATTAAGAGTTGAGCTGGGCCCCTGCCTTACAGGCAGGTGAAGGAGAGAGACAAGAGAGCTCTCTGGAGAAGGAACATCACATCACTGTCTTCCACACACAGTGAGGACACCGAATAAACACTCAGGACTCCTTCCAATGCAACTGCACTACCCAGTGATCTGAATGTCCATTAAACAATGGCATGCTTTGTGGAACAAGGAAATATACACAGGTTGGAAAGCTAGATCATCAACCATAGCAAGAGACATTCTAAAAGGAGGCATGTGGCTGTGTTGTGAACCTGTGCTTTGCTTTCCTATATGTGTGTGTGTGTGTGTGTGTGTGTGTGTGTGTGTGTGTGTGTGTGTACATATAGATGCATGAATATATGGATGTTGGATGTATGCATGCACATATGTACACACATACATACACATGGATACACATATGTATGTATGTATTTATGCGTACTTTGATTCAGGGTTTTAATGTGTATCTAGGGCTAACCTTGAATGCTTGATCCTCTAGCCTCAGCTTCCCAAGTGCTGGGATAACAGATGCAAACTACTTTTTCATGTGGAAAATACAGCATTTCCTTTCTGAGAGATGAGGGTTAAATTAAGGCTTATAATGGATTTATCGTAGTGCTCTGCAAGGCATAAGCCCACCAATGAGTGCTGGCCATGATTTTCAGCATCAGCCCCAGCTGATGTCAGTCATTTCCGTTCTAGCCAGCTGTGCATTAAACAGCAGGCTATGAGGCCAGGGAGGATTATATGTGACTTTCTAAGATCCACATAGGCAAAAGTTGATGGGACATGTAGACCAGTGGTGGAATGCTTACTGCCAGACCTGGTGGCCAATGGAAAAAATATCAACAAAGTATTAAAAACAAATCATATTCCTTTTAAGAGGAAATTACTAGTATTCTACTGTCAAACAACCATTCTTTCTGAGATCACAGCAGGAATTTTAAAAGGGCAATGGTAGATGGTGGTGGTGGCGGTGGTGGCGGTGGTGGTGGTGGTGGTGGTGGTGGTGGTGGTGGTGGTGGTGGTGGTGGTGGTGGTGGTGGTGGTGGCGGTGGTGGTGGTGGTCATCACTGGTGTATAACTGCATTGGTCACTTTCTGTTTACCAGCAGCGTTCTTATTACTGGGAAACACAGCCCATCAGAGACTATGAACTAAATGGAGGAAGTATTAAGATGAAAGAGTGAAAAGAGTGGGAAGTTTGCTTTCTCATGGGAAACTGCACTGGCCAGCAGATGAACCTTGAAAGAGGAAGTCTGCTGACCTAGTGTTACTAAACATAGGAGGCAGCCAAGGAACAGCGAAGTAGGGTAATGTGTTTAAATGTATGCCTCGAAGGAAGCAAACACCAATTATTTTTATATGACTTTAATTCTCCCAGTGAATACTTTATGGGTGTTGGCAAGTCCTTCTGGAAAAGGAAGGGATTATTAATGAAGGATTTGGTGGCAACCACTTACCAGTACCCTGAGAAATAATGCTTAACAAAGAATCGTTTAGTTTATACCTCATCTCTAAAAGATTTGGAAACTTGAAGAATCTTTTCAAAAATGGTAAAAATGTAGTATGTCCACATATATTATCCTTTTCATTTTTGTTTCCATAGCCTATATGACAAACAAAAAAACTTTACATAGGAAAATAAATACACAGAGCAAAGTAGTTGAATTTTTCTCTCTCATGCAAAGAGTAACCACTCTTAATAATTTCTTTTTTCATAATTAAAACTTTATTTAAAAGAACCTGCAAATAAATAAATAAAAATACCATATGGTGGTATTTTATTTGTGCTGAAATGTAATTTTATTTGTATGTTAATAAATAAAGTTGCCTGGGGATCAGAGCTAAAAGCAAGCCATTTAGCAGAAGTCTGGCGGTGGTAGCACATGCCCTTAATCCAATCACATGGCAGGCAGAGTCTCTGTGTGTTCAAGGACACAGCCAAGTGGTGACCCTAACCTTTAATCCCAGTTCGAACCATAGAGACCTGGAGGTCTGTATAAACAGGCAGTGATGAGGAAATCATGTGGTTGGGTTTAGAGCCAATGAGAAGGTAGAACAATAAGAAAGGCAATAAAAAGATAGGTCACACAGGCGAAGGTCTCTCTCTCAGGGGAAGAGACATCAGCGACTGGTAAGCTAAAGATAGTCTTGGGTTGGGCTTCTTTAGTGCTCTGATCTCTTAGGCTTTAACAGGTATTTGGCTCTGTGTTTCTTATTTACTAAGACCGTTTAGAATTTCATCTACAATACCACACAGTGAAAGTAGCCACACTCAACATGTACACACCTTAATAAACTTGTATGAAGTCAGAACATCCATTCTGACCTGTAGGGCTCCACAGTGGATCTTTTTTTGTTTGTTTTGTTTTGTTTTTGATTATTGTTTTCTGTGGCAGGGTTTCACTCTGTAGCCCTGGTTGGCCTGGAACTTACAATGTAGACCAAGATGGCCTCAAATTAATGGAGATCTGCTTGCCTCTGCCTCCCAAGTGCTGGTATCAAAGGTGTGTGCTACCATAGTCAGCTTCACATTAGATTTTACACTTTCACTATCAAACACACTTTTATATACTTATATCCACCACAAAAAACCCTGAAAAATCTACAACAGAGTTAAAACTAGGAGAACAATTTCTTTATAAACTCTTTATGTGACTCATGTGTCCATTTTCTGCATTTAGCCCTTTCTCATCACCTAATAGTGACCCTTTATTGTTCTCCTTTCCACATGATGCACTACCCATCTGCACATTTGTTTACATATCTATATTGGGCTAGGATCCATGAAGTTCTTTCCTGAGGTGGGTGACCTTATTATCACATTATAGTCTCTAACTCTACTCATTTTCTTGTGAACTTTGTGATTTCATTTTTGCTAGAGTTGAATTACGTATTACCTGACTGTCATTATACAGTCCTCTGTTGATGGACAACTATACTGGTTCCATTTCCTCGCTATGGTAAGTGAAGCAACAACAAACACGGAGGGACAAACATCTCTGTCGCAGGGTATGGAGCTCTCTGGGTATATATGCTCAGGTGTGGAGTAACTGGGTCATATGGTGGCTCTATTTTTTTTTTTTTTTGAGGAATCCCAATAATTCATATGGAACCACAAAAGACCATAAATACCTAAAGCACTCCTAAGGAGTAAGAATGCTGCTAGAGGTATTACAGAACCCAACCTCAACTTACACTACACAGCCATAGTGACAAAGACATTCTGGTATGAGCATAAGCACAGACAGGTAGAACAACAGACTATAATAGAACATGAATATTCAACAACAAAGTTACGCCCTCCTAATTTTTGACAAAGGAGGTATAAATACACATTGGAAAAGAGTGCCATTCAACAAATGGTGCTGGAAAAACTGGGTATCTGGGTGCCAAAGAATGAAATTGGGTTCATAACTTTAATTTTGTATAAAAATCAATTCAAAAATAGATCAAAGACCTTAAATTAAAACCTGAAATGCTGAAACAGCTAGAGGAGAACCTAGGAACTCTTTCTTAAGACACTGGCGTAGGACAGAAGTTTCTGAATAAAACACCAATAATACAGGAACCAGCTCCAGGTCCCAACAGATGGGACTACAGCAAAAATATAAAGTTTCTGCATAGCAAAGGAAACTAACAGCGGGGTACTCAGCCCATGGAATGGGAGGAAAATCAGTTTGGTTTTTTTTTTAAGAAACACAAATGGCTGATAACTATTTTTTAAAGTGTTCGATATCCCTCGCCCTCAGGGAAGTGTAATGAATAGTATTTTGAGATGCCACCTCACTCCAGTCATAAGGGTCATCATCAACTAATCAACTGTCAACTAATGGTGAAGAAGATGTGGAGGAGAGGGAGTCTTACTCAATGCTGCTGGGGTACCAGTTAATTCAGCCATTGTGGAAGTCAACTGGAGAGTCCTCAAAGAATAAACACATCCTTGTTGACTTCAAAAAGAATTTTTTCGGGTTTGTGAGCCGAACACAGTTCAATAGTATGCAGGCCAGCAAATCCAAAGATGGTTGCTTGGCTCTGTATTCCATCTTATTTTCCTAAAATATAACTTATTCACTCATAAATTCTTACACCATGTAAAACATAGCCTCTCTCTCACAGTTAGCTCTCAAAATTCTCCAGCTTCTTCAGAAGTGAGCACCCTAGAGTTAGCCTGTCAAGATTTTAATTCCAGCTCTGCCATTACTATATTTTAAAAGGAACTAGTTGCTTAATCTTTCTCTGCCTCAGTTTTCCTGTTTGTAAGAGGCAGATGTTAACTATAGCCAATTCATAAGAAACCTGTAAAGATTAAATGAGTTAATTATGGAGTAATTAACTCCAGACTGCCTGGTTCAGAATGATGAACAAGACTTACAGGAAATACATCACCACTACCATCTTGTTATATATCACCAGCTTTTCCTAATCAAAGCCTGAGGTTCTTATGTGTGATGAGATGGAGAGCAGAAGGAGAGAGGATAGCAAATGTAAGAAAGTGAAAATACCAGGAAAAGTGCATTGCTGAGCTAGCTAACTATTCAAGGGAACATCTCACTTAGTTGTCTGACTTGGGAAAAATGACAGTGTCAAGTAGGAAATAAGAGCTTGGTAAAATTAGGGACAGCAACTCTGACAGCATCCCAAACTCAACGCTTTCCCATCTCAGCTCTATCTTTTCAGTGGTTTGAGGTCATCCAAGGCTTTCTGTTGGTTATCATTAAATCTGGTGTTTTCTACACTTAAAACAGATTCAGAATCTGACCATCTCACCCCCCACTACCACTGTGATAGAGTCCACCATTATCACTTACCCAAACAGCTACTAAATGAGTTACATGAGGAACCCTCAAACTGGACTCTACCTACTGCCAGCTATTCTCCAAACAGCAGCCATGGGTCACTTTAAAATGGTGATCATGTTATTCCTCTGGTAGACTAGCCTGCAGATTTTACCCGGTGAGGGGAACAGTGTCTGCCAAAGACTGTGTATAACCTGACCCCTCTTGGCACACCTCTAACCACATGGCCTCACTGGTTTCCTTGCTGTCCCTGTAGTGTGCCAGGCACATTTCCACCCTGTGATTTGCTGGGGATATCTTTCTGTATGTTCTGAATGTGTTGCTCTGATTGATTGATAAATAAAATGCTGATGGGCCAGTAGCCAGGCAGGAAGTATAGTGTAGGTGGGATATGGAGAGAGGAGAATTCTGGGAAAGTGAAAGGCTGAGTCAGGAGTCACTAGCCAGACACAGAGGAAGCGAGATGTAAAAGTACTGGATGTACAAGCCACGTGGCAACTTATAGATTAATAGAAATGGGTTAATTTAAGATTTAAGAACTACATAGTAAGAAGCCTGCCACAGCCATACAGTTTATAAGTAATATAAGTCTCTGTGGTTTACTTGAGTCCAAGTGGCTGCAGGACTGGTGGGTGAGAGAGATTTGTCCTGACCTCGTGCCCGAGCGGGACTAGAGAAAACTCCAGCTACAGTGGTTGGTGAGATAGCCATTCTCTTTACCCAGAATACTTATCTCCCTGGTCATTTCACGAACAAATCCCTAAAGTTTTTCAAAATCTCTGTTCAAAAGACATCATCGAAACACAGCCTACTCTGGCCTTCCAGCTGGGTAAAGCCCATTTCCAGACACAATTCTCTTTTTCTGTAACACTGATCATTGTAGCCTTCTAACACACTGTGTTGGTCACAGGTTACTTCTGCTTAGTATTTACTGTTCCCCCTGTAAGAATGAGTTACATAATGGCAGAGATCTCTGTCTGTTTTGCTTGCTGCTATTTCCCCAGTCTGAGAACAGTGCTTGGCATGCAGTTATCACTTACTGACTTGAGGGGACAGTGACTGGATTAAGCCTGAGAGGTGAGGAGGAAGCAATGGAAACCAAGATCAATTTTACTTTTCATATAAATAATACTATCTTCCACTTTAAGCAGGATGTCGGAAAATACAGCAACACCTGGGATAACACCTCTTGTTTCTTCTCCCAAGCCCATCTGGATGTTATGTGATTTTAAGAAAATGTTCTCAAAATGTTTCTGTGTTAGTTGATGTAAATCTTTCAGAACAAAACTTACTGGATGACAACTCATGGAGAACTTGTGAGAGTGAGTGGGGGCCACAGCCAGGCATTCAGCCCTCCACAGAAACAAGGGCTCAGCAGTGAAGTTTGGGGGGAGCTAACGTTAAAAGAAGAAACAGAGCACTTGGAAGTCCCGTTCATGATAGTGATTTGTGGTTGAACACACTCCAAAGGAAGGCACAAGACATCTGTCTGCTGGGAAATTTCTTAAATCAAATGAAAAGAAGCCATCTTCTTTCTGGTGGGGCATCAAGTTATGGCCTGGAACACATTATTCTTCCCAGGCTCCTTCAAATCTAAGCTTGTTTTAAAAATCAAACCCAGTGAAAGATTAGATAAACAACTGGACAATGTTTTTTACACTCTAGTAACATAAACATTCCAGATTCCTCCCTAGCTCTCTACAAGCTTGAATCTCTAATTCCAGAGAAGGTGAAATATCTTCAGTGTTTAAACATTATCTTGAATTATTCACATCTACCTCCATCTTTATCTTATACTTTTTTGGCAATAAAAAGCAGGGTTTTGTCCAAACTATGGTACTATGACTCCCTTCCAAGAGCAAAACATTTTGGACTAAGCCAGCTCTGCTTTCTTTGAAGGTGAAAATGGCAGCTGTCCCAACAGTCTTATAGACCCCATACTGCACCATTTCAACACAAGTGTCACAAACATGGACAAGAAACATGGGGCTTCCGGCCTGCAGTTTTCAAGCGCATTGACAAAAATAGAGGTGGGTTGAGATAGTTGGCAAAGCAAGGAAACACAAGGGGAGGGCAGCTCTTTGATTGGAGGGTGTGTCACACAAGAGATCCTGGGAGAAAAGGGTCTGTGGAAATGTCACAGGGGAGGGAGATGGAGAGAATGGAGGGGGCGCAGAGCGAACTGGATCACCAGCCCTGGGCACACCTTACACTCAGCAGATTGTGAAATGATGATGGCCAAGGCAGAAGAGAAAATGCTGTGCTAGAGTGGCATCTCCTTTATGCCATGTCCACAGTTTATACAATTCCACCTGACCCTGGTCCTCACAACTTTGAAGGTAGAACAAGCAAAAACATACCCCAGTGCTCCAGGGAAACCACACCACCAAGGCCAGTTCCTGCATAGGTTTTAGTACCTTTAACCTCATTCCTGTATTTGTAAAATGAAAATGTCTTTCTGGCTGTGAGAAAATAATGAGATGTTACGGAAAGCATCAGAGACAAGATCATACTCAATTTTTGGCAGTATAATAAATGAAAAGATGACCAACCCAAGGTCAAACATGACAAGTCAACAGCCCTTTGGGGAATGGGAGTTCAGTCTTCCAGGGCAGTAGGTATTTCTCACCAAAGCAGAGAGCAATAGAGAATCCCAGAAGGCAGGAGGAAGGAAACCAAAACTAAGCACAGATGAATAAGGTGAGAAAGTATACTCTCAACATACTGCATAACCAATGAGGACTACAGAGCAACATGCCAGCCTCTAGGGGAGGATAACGTGGGATATAATTTTACAACAGGAAAAGGAGTCATGAGTTCATGGGTGCACTTGTCCTGTTTTACCCCTAAAGCAGTTTCACTGCAGACACCCACTACCTCTGACAATGTTTCTGCTCCCTCTTCTCTGATGACCACTAGACCTTGGAAGGAGGAGTTGTGATCTGGATGTTCCATTTAGAGCTGAGCACTATGCAGTCTCCTGTTCTCTGAGTGTTGACTAGTTGTAGGTCTCTGTGTTAATCTCCATATACTGTAAAAAGAAGCTTCTCTTATCGAGGTTCAAAGATGCACTAATACATGGATATAAAGACAAGCATTTGAAGAGTAGTTTAACATTATGTTCGTTTAGGAGAATATTAACTGTAGGTTCTCCTAAGACCCATAACCTATCCAGCCATGGGTTCTTGGTCCAATTAACAATATCAAGCATGAGTTTCATCTTGATGAGTAAGTAGACTTTAGATATTTTAGATGAGTAACCAAAGTAGATGGTTACTCCTAAAACATTCATGACACCATTGCTCCTATGAGCATACCTTATCAGGTAAGTGATTATTGTAGCTCACAGGGTTCAGAGCTGGGGGAAACTGAGGATTAGCTTTTTTTCTTCTCTGGTAGCATGGATAGGACTTTCTAGCATTATGAAAGCCAGTCAATAAGGATGGAGCTTGCAAGTGAGTACTGGCTTGATTTCTCCATGTTTCATGACTTAATATATGGTGTCTTCAGTAATAGGGTCTTACCATCAAGTCACAGAGGTTAACCAAGAATAATGACAATAGTCTATAATGTAAGGAGTGCTTCTGAGACCCCACTGACCAACAACTTAAAAAGAGGTGATTCCCATCTGCACATGAATAGTTTTTCCATCTTCAGTTTTTCATTTTTCTTAACAGCTGAATAATATTCCAATGTACAAATGCACCACATTTTCATTATCTATTCATCAGGTGATGGACATCTAGGCTGTTTCTATTTCTTAGCTATTAAGGTATTCTATAGTACAATTTTTCCAGCAAGGATGGCCATTTTCACAATAATAACCCTAAGAATCCATGAGATTTTGTGGAAAGTCTTTCCATTTTCCATTGCCTTCAATTGGCTTCAATTTCTTGATGGAAATTTTCTTTGTATGGGTCTTTCATGTTCTTGGTTGGGTTTATTCCAATGTATTTTTCTTTGGTAAGATATTGTAAATTGGGTATATGCCAGGTAGCTTGATTGTTTTGTCTTTGTTTGTCAATTTGACATGAACTAGGGTCATCTGAGGAGAAAGATTACATTTCTGTTTTTTTTTTTCTA